CTCCTCAGTCCTAATATGGTCACTTCCTGTTCACTGGTTGCAAAAAAAACAAGATGGCGACGACGAAATCGCCGAACTGGAGGCTTCAAAACATCAGTCCACAAACCAATGGGTGACATCACCACCACTATGTCCACTTCTTATAAATATTCTATGAGTCTAACAATGGCAAAGAAGTCAAATCCAATTGTGGATTTGAAGAATCATGACACACATTTACATCGTAAAGCTTACTATGTACTTTATTATGTCATCGTTAATCATCACAATACAAAGTATTCATTCGATTTTGAGAAAGAAAAACAGTTTTGAGGCTGAAAAAAAATAATAGAATGAAATATTTTTGAACAACAAAAAGGAGTGTAGACACTGAAGAAGAGATCTGAGCTGAAGGCTGAGTACGAGAAGGTGAGTCTCACCTGATATTTGGGAGGTTTCTCCACCGTCCTGTAGGTCTTGAACCACATCAGGAGCTTCTGCATCTCCCTCACTGAGTTTGGGAATCGTCTGTCGTTCAGCTGCAGAACCTTCAGTCAGTCAGACAACAAGCAACACGTTAAGTTTAACATTGAGTCCTCACATCCAGACGTCAACACTAACGTTGTTGTTGTTGTTGTTACCTTGGTCTTGATCCACTGAAGCAGATCTGAGACCAGCCTCTCGTACTGGACCTTCATGTCATCCAGCTCCATCAGCATCCCGACGATCTGAGGACAGAGAGGACAGATCCTGAATCATTCCGACGTCTCATCATCTTACAGAAATTAAACATTTAAACTTTATTCAAATAGAGCTGCAACTAAAGTAGTCTGTTTATTATCAATTAAACTGTCAGTTAACTAATATAATGCAGAAAATGTCAATAAATGGTGAAGAAATAACTAACACAACATCCTAAAGCTCAAAGTGACGACTTCAAGTTGCTTGTTTTGTCCGACAAAGAGTAAAAAATAAAAATATTTCCTAAAATGTTTCCTATCGCACAAGAAATGAAAAGCAGTAAATCTGAACAATTCAGAGGTTGGAAACAAGTTTGTCACTTTCGCTTGAAAATGGCCAAAATGTATTCATTTTATTTGTATTTGTATAATTATTTAGTAAAATAATTTCGTAAAATTAACAATTAAAAATAAAACAGAAAAGCGACGACATCACATAAAAGCCGGTCTGTAGAAATGTGTTGAAAAACGTTTTAAAAGATTAAACCTTAAAAGACAGAGGACCTGAGATGGATCCCTGAGGAACCTCACTAGTTACTTTAGAGGTTTGTAGGAGTTTACCATGTATTAAAACACAGAACTCTTCCATGACTTTACATTAAAACCCTGTAAACATGTAACACACCTTGTTGTGGGATCTGGTGGAAGTTTCTCTCCTGTACTGTTTCTTTAACCACCGACCACTGAGACTTCCTCCCAGTGACATACTCAACTGTTATACACACACCTGTAGCTCATTTACCCAGACGAACACCGTGATACACCTGGAACAGTCTATACACCTTTCACCTTCAGTCAAAGGAGACCTGAAAGGAGCTTTGTCACACCTGAGACACAGGTACACATGGATACACCTGGTACATAAGTCACTATATATATAACCCTGAACACACCAGGTAAATATATATGGTAGAAAACCACTGGAGATGCTTCTAGATGCCTTCGTCACATCTGGAAGGCACCTGCTGCCGACAATATACCTGAAAATGATTCCAGATACCTTGACCAAACATTAAAAAAACACCTCATACACCTGTTGTCTCTAATTTCAGCCTAAATCGTTTTTCGTTGAAACATCTAACACACCTGGACACACCTGGTGCATACAGTATTACTGCTGGAGATGCTTCTAGATAACTCAGCCACACCTGTGCACACCTGGCAGCTGTGTAACTTTAATTTAAGCATAAATACTTTGACCACACCTGGAGCATACTTGCTACATGTGCTTTAAGCCTGAAAAGTATTTTTGGAAACCTCTCATGAACCTGTAATGCACCTGGTGCATACATTATACCGGTTATGGATGTTTCTAAATCCCCACGACACACCTGACATACCTGTTACCGCCAATTAAGACCTGGAAAGCCTTTTATCCAAACCTCTGCACACCTGTACACACCTGGAATAACCCTCTACAGATAACCTTGGAGGCTGGTAGCTCATGTGACACACCTGAAGCATCGCTAAGTGACCCCAGGTAACACACCTGGTTTACCTGCTACATAAGCATAAACCGCCAACGCTGCTGGAGCTCCAACCATCACGACTCAACATTAGGAGAATTAAACACAGAAAAGTATTTCATCACATTGATGCAAAAATTATATCCTGAGCATCTAAATGTAGCCTTAAAGCTTCATAGAAACAGAGATATTAATGAGAAAGCTCCCTCGACACAAACAAGATAACAATACTTCTATTGTCTCACAGTATGTCTTCATAACACCAAAGACTACAAAGTGGACATTTGTAGTTCTACTTAAGGAAAGAAACTTTGCACACCACAGCATCAGACCAGAGTTTTGTTTTAGAGACTAAGAGCTGGCAACTGAAACCCTGATTAAGCTGAGAAACAGAAGGAATAATACACTGTAAATGTCCCCACAGCGGGACTAATAAAGGATTATCTTATCTTATCTTATCTTTTTATCCAACACAGTGACAGAAAATCATCTTCTGTTCTCGGTCACAAAGAAGAGAAACCCTTTCAGCTTTGAAGCCACAACGAAGCTTAAAAACTAAAGTATGTAAGCTGACCAACAACCCAACAGAGATAACCAACAACAACTAGAAACACATGAGAGCCTCTTAAATCCATAGAGAATCCTCGGTGCTTTAGTTCTGACTGAGCTCTTCTTCCTGTTTCTCTGAGCTAACAGCAGGTAAAAGTGTGCAGCTTGTTTCTGCTGCAGCGTCTCAGACTGTGATCTGATCGGATGAGCTTAGTGGCTGAAGCCCCGCCCACAGTGGACTACACAGTATAGAGAGGATCCACGGTCACCTGACCACCTGACCACCTGGTCACCTGACATGAGACCGCATGAGCATTAGTCCTGCAGAGAGAAGTACAGAGACTAAACTTTATTACTAATAAACTAACATTATTACATCTAAAGCCAGCAAATATTTTTACTGGAAAAACTATATAAATTATTTTAAAAATAGTTTATTTTCTTAAAATCAAATTAATCGAATAATCATTTTTATATATTTTTCTGCAAAAACAATACACTTGTAAAGTAACTTTAACTGTCATATAAATGTAGTGAAGTACAAAGTAGAATATTTCTCTCTGAGATGTAGAGGAGTAGAAGTATTAAGGGTCATGAGGAGAAAATACTCAAGCAGTGGCGGCTGGTCAATAGAGGGCGCTAGGGCCCCACCTTGAGCCACAACAAATAAAATAAAATAAATAATAATAATAATAAACTATACAAATTGTCAATATTTGTGTTTTTGAAATATGGAATCACCCAGTAATATGTGTAAAATATGATATCTGCGGTAAATATATGCTTTTCCTGCACGTCCTCTCCGCGTGTGCACGTCTCTGGGGGCGGTGGAGAAACTGCCCAAAAGAGGCGGGTCTATGAAGCAGTTTAGCCAATTGCTGGTTAAAGATATAAATGTGTGACATACAATTTAGCCAATCAGCGCCCTCAAATAGATTCAGCTTGGGGCAGGGTACATCCCAGGGTACATCTGCATTGTCATCTTTTAAGTGTGTGTAGGTGTGTGTCTAGGCGTGTGTTTGTGTGTGTAGGTGTGTGTGTGTGTGTGTGGGTGTAGGCGTGTAGGTGTGTGTGTGTGTGTGTGTGTGCGCGCATGTGTTCAGACCTTGGTGAGTCTCTTCTGGATGGTCTGGCCCTGCTTCATCATGGAGAAGTAGTGGTAGTACAGAGACACGTAGGTCATGATGGACTTCTCGTCTGGATGTTTGACCACCATGTCCTCCACCTCCAGCAGCTGCATGATCCCAAACTGACGCTCCGCCACAGAGAAGGCATGCTGCAGGTTACTGAGGGGGTCCTCAGCATGGAGACGACTGTAGTCAAAGAGGTCAGGCCTGGAGGAATGAAGATTGGATGGTGAATAGAAAGAAATGTGTGTGTGTGTGTGTGTGTGTGTGTGTGTGTGTGTGTGTGTGTTACCTGTGTGCGTGGATCAGGGCGTTGAACGCCAGTCCGTTCCTCCAGCTTGAAGAGAAGTCGTTCACGTTGACGCCGTCATAACCAGAAGTTTTCCTCTGACACCAGATCAGTAGAGCCTCCTTAGCTGAGCGATGAGCTACACTGCCTCCTCCTCCCGCCTGAGGAGGGGAGGAGAGAGGAGAAGAGAGGAGGGGAGGAGAAGGGAGGGGAGGAGAAGAGAGAGGAGGAGAGGAGGGGGAGGGAGGAGAGAGGAGGGAAGGGAGGAGAGAGGAAAGATAAGGAGACCAAAGAGACGACACAATGTTGGACTCATTCGTTTCTTAGTGAGCTGGACAGGAGGTTGTGGGTTTGATTCCCTACCTCGTCTAGGCTGATGGGTCCAATCTGGAACCTGAGGATGATGATCCACAGCAAACCCAGGATCAGCATGCGGTCCCCATCCACCACGTTCTCTGGACCAATCAGCTCCACTCGAATCTGACGGGAGAGACAGTGATTGGTTAGTGTCTCAGACTGAGTGGTTTTAAATATGAACGGACAGTTTATGAGAATCATTTGAATAATTTGTTCACTCAAAAAATGTCTGCTAAATTCATCGGTTTATTTATATTTTTAGTTCAGTTGAATTTGAGTCAAAATAACAGCTGTAATGAATACACATGAACACAAGATGGAGACAAAAATACAGACAAAAAAGTACCTTCAACAGGTGAGCTACCTTGCTTTCTAGGACTCTTGATGACTAACAGGTGAGCTACCTTGCTTTCTAGGACTCTTGATGACTAACAGGTGAGCTACCTTGGTTTCTAGGACTCTTGATGACTAACAGGTGAGCTACCTTGGTTTCTAGGACTCTTGATGACTAACAGGTGAGCTACCTTGCTTTCTAGGACTCTTGATGACTAACAGGTGAGCTACCTTGGTTTCTATGACTCTTGATAACTAACAGGTGAGCTACCATGGTTTCTAGGACTCTTGATGACTAACAGGTGAGCTACCTTGGTTTTGAGGAAGCTGATGGCGATGCTGTTGTTCTCCAGGCAGTGGACTCTCAGCTTGCGGCGGCTGGGCGGAGGCAGTGTCTCTCTGGAGATGAGCTCCAGCAGACGAATGAGGGCGACTCCGGTCTTCAACTCCGTGTAAACGTCAGTCAGCTCCACGTTGTCCTGCAAGACGTGAAGAACAAGTATCTATTTTTACATGCATATATTGGTACAATATAGATTTATTACTAAGATGTAAGCAGACATGTTTACAGCGACTTTAAACAGGAAGTTCAAAGCATAATTCCCCTTAAATCATCCTGAGAGTCTGAAATGAGTTACATAACATCTGCTTCAGGACATCCTGGTTATCAGCAGGTCAGGTAACATCTTACAGCTCGTCAAGTGGACAAGTTCCTCCCAATAACAGGCGTGTCGGTCCGGCCTTCATGCTGTTTATGAGTTACAGCTCCAACAGAACGTCCATCATGTCTTCATTCAGCTCTATTTTACCTCCATGACCTCAGGACCTGGTCTTCTTAATTCAAGTAGACCAGTAGACCTTCCTTGATGAGGCTTTGAACATCACTCATTTGGGAAAACACAATTTAGTTTATTTTCCTTTGACTTTTTTTGGCCTGAAATGCGGTTTTGTCTCACAAACAATGGAGATAAATGTCTTTTAAAAAGCTAATTTTGTCTGACAAACAGTCCAAAAACTGAGAAGTATTAATGTTTACAGTCCAACATGAGGGAGACAACAAGGAACTAGTTTATTGTATTTATGCTTAAAATAGTATAGTGTATAATAGTATATGATTAAATGGTTAATTACAATACTTTATATACCGTTAGGTAGTTAAAACTATGACAATACAAAGACTGTCCTCGACCAAAGAAATTCTTAACAGTCATTGCAAATCACACAAAAGCACCACTTTAAACCACTTTAAACTACTTTAATAAACCACTTTAAACTACTTTAAATTTACCAGAGATGTGTTCACAGGTTTCTTAAATAAAAAGATAAAAAGACCAAAATGACCGATTAGTCGACTAATCCACTAAGAACGAGCAGCCGGAGACATTACATCAGATTTAATTACATCTCTGAATATCTAACAAACTAGTAACCAGCTGTCAGATAGACTCGTTGGAGTAGCAGTACTGTATTTTCATTGGCTTTGATGGAAACATGTGAGTAGCTTCAGTAAATGGACTTTGTTAGCTTAAAAAAACTCACTTAAAGTCCCTCAGATGTGATGATTTGCTGCTTTTCTGTTTTGTATCTTTTTAAAGGGATATTTCTGAGTATTTTTGGACTAAACGAGACATCTGAAGACGTCACTTTGGGAAACTTTGACGGACATTTTGGATTATTCTTTACATTTTATAGACTATACGCTGAATTGATTAATTTAAAAAAAATAACCGAAACACTGATTGACAACAAACAAGTCTGAAGGAGGAGCGGTGTTAGAATTAAACTGAAATACACCTGAGACTGATCTCACTCATGAAGACCTCCTGACAAACCTGGTTTCAACCCAAAAATATGTTTTAAAGATTTCAAATAATATTTTTTTTGATTGGATTTATACTATTTAAAAAAAAAAAAAAAAATATATATATATATATATATTCACTTTTATAGCTTTTTTTTGCTGTTGTATTAATATTATTATTATGATAGAAATAGTTCATGTGAATGTTTCTAGCATCATTCTTACTGTCGACTGTTTTTTAAAGACAACACTACAGTTAATTAGTTTAAGGTTAATCTGAAAGCTGTCATGTAACAGGAAGCTGTCATGCAACAGGAAGCTGTGCTATCTCAACAGCGTTTTTATACAATTACCTTGGTTTGATTTCCTGTTGCCGTGGAGATAACATTGTTAATCAGAGTTCATGACAGAAAATAAAAACAACATATTTAACATTAGTCGGAGTATAAATTAAAGTATATAAATGGAGCTACAACTAAGAAACATTTCTATTTTATGACTAATGCGTTGAGTTTCTCCATCAGAAGTTTGTTCTATTAAATATCAGACATATTTTTGTCTGCTTGTCCTGGTTTGGTTCCTATCATTCCAAAGAAGTTTACAGTAGAATACTTTAGACAATAGTACTCCAACATGGAGCGAGGAGTATTTCAACAGAATATTTATAGAGTTCTGCAGTATTCAATTATTTTAATTTCATCTACTTAACGTAAAAAAAATCACAAATCACTTCTTAAAATGCATGTTTACAGACTGGCTTTCATGTGATGTCGTCTTTCTGTTTTATTTCTGTTTTATTTATATTTGTTGATTTTACTAAATTATTTTACTCCTTTTTTAAATTGTATTCATCTTATCATCTTATCTTCTTTTATTAACACCGTATCGACTGTCTCACTGAGCTTTCTGTTATTGCTATTATTGCCTTGCTTTTGCTGCTTTTGTCTGTCAAAGCACTTTGTGCACTTATTATTATTATTATTATTATTATTATTATCATTATCGACAATAACAAAAGTATAAAACTATTTTTTTTGTTTAACCCCACTTTATCTCTTTACATGACTTAAGATGGCCACCAACCAAACTCCAAAGCAAAGCAATTTACTTCATATTTTAGAAATTACAAAACATGACTTTTTTTCATTTTGTTGTAATTCTATTTCCTGTTCATTGTATCTCCCTTTACTACAGTCTGCATGGGGCCACACAGTGTCCTTTTCTTTTCTCTAAGCTTTTCTTTGTTTTGTTTTCTCATTAAATAAATGTGTAGCTGCATATCTGTATTCTTTCCTAACCCTCCGAAAACACCCTTAAATATGATATGACACATGACCTCAGTGTGGATGGAAACACATTCTTCTCTCCCCCCCATAAATCCCAGAGGAATTCTGGGAATGAGGAGCAGCAGCGAGCTTCAGTGTTCAGCCAACAGCTGATGCCAGTTATCAGGGAAAACAAACACGAAGAATCAAACAGAGAAGCGACTGGAACGTCTCAAAGCTGAGACAAGAGATCATCAGCTGTGTCACTTTATCATGACATCATCACAAAAACCTATTATTATTCTCCTGTAAAGTTTCATTCAACACAAACTTTCGCATGTTTTATGTGAATGTGACTCGTGAATTAATGGATTAATAACTATAAACACACACATACTAAAAGTACTCCATTACAAGTAAAAGTCTTGTGTTCTGAAATGTTCCTGAAGTAAAAGTACAAGTAATTATGACATTAAAACTTATAAATTTGTGTTATTATTATTGATGCTGAGGTAAACATGATTGAACTCTTTTATATCCTGTTTAATCTATAACAATGCAACATATTTTATAAAAATCTTGGCTATCAAAGTAACACAAAGTGAAAATACTCCAGTAAAGTACCTCTAAAAATGCAAGTCAAGTTTTCCACTGCTGTCTGTTTCTAAAATAGGTTTGAGGTGAATCTCTTGTCTTTCATTGGTTTCACAGTTTGTATCTCAGTGTGTCAGCACTGGATTTTCAAAGTAAAGCGTCTGTTCTTCTGCTGGGTGTTACTGTTTCCACGTCGTTGTGTTTGGTGTTGAATCACAAAATGAAGGCGAAGTCTTGAGTATTATTATCACTGTAACCAGAATGAACCCAGGAAACATCCACTCAGCACATTTCATTGTACTTTTTATTGGACTACATCTCAGAGGTACATTTTGTAGTTTTTACTACATTTCAGAGTTATATATTGTACTTTTTACTCTAATCCAAAAAGAAATATTTTACTGATCAATCTATACTTTTACTTTAACTACATTTATATACTTGTACTTGTTGTGGAGTGTTTTCACAGTGTGGTACTAGTACTTCTAGTGCAGTAAAGGACTGCATACTTCCTCTTGTGGTATCTGGTCATACAGATAGTTTTAATAAACCACATATCTTCTTCTTCATGGCTTCCTGTCTCACCCCGTTCTTGGTGAAGACGCTGTTCATCCACTTGGTGAAGGTTTTCTTCTGGACCGTCATCCTCTGCTCCTGCAGCTCTCTGACTCGCCCCGCCCCGTCCTCCTCGCCCTCCATCCTGATTGGCTGGAAGAACACAGAGAACGTTCCAAAAGAAGATGCAAAATGATACATCTTATTCTTCAGGTAAAAAACATTAAAGACTTGTTTTGGCCCTGCTGCTCTATCTATCTAAAGGGTTCATCCTCTCTGGAGCATGAATGGGATCAGGATATTTCACGGAAATCTGTACATTAAATCTTGATATTTAAGGAGAGATTTTTGTCCTGATGTTGGCGCTAGAAGAAAGACCGTGGAGTAATTATAATCACAAGAGTTCATCCTCCAGGGAGCATGAATGAGATCAGGAATTTCACGGAAATTGATACATTAAATCTTGACATTGAACGGGGTGTATTTGTCTTGATCGTGGTGCTACAGGAAAGATCATGGAGTCATTCAAATCTAAATGGTTCATCCTCAGGGCAGCAGGAATCTAAAGGGTTTATTCTCTGAAGAGCAGGAAAGGGATCAGGATATTTTACGTAAATCTTGACATTGAATAACATTTAATGGGAATTTTTTGTCCTAATGGTGGCGCTAGAGGTTAGCAGAATCATCAGGGTTCATGCTCTAGGGAGCAGACATGTCTGCAATCAGGCCGGTAGTTGTTGAGATACTTTGCTCTTGTCTTCAGTGGTGGAAAAAACAACCCAAAAAGCTGCATCTCACACCTCTAAAGTCAGATTTAAACGTATTTCATGCAGCGTTTCCTCTGATTGGACGGTCTCGTGAGCTGTCAGCTGATTGGTCATCTGCTCTGAGTTAGCAGTTAAAATATTATTTTACTTTATGACAGAAGAAGTCACACCTTCAATACAACACTGCTGTAAAAATACCTGAGCTCTCATAATCCAGGTAGCCTGTGTGTGTGTATATTAACATTTCAGTTCAAACACCTCAACAATCCTCATCTTTAAGTAATTTATTTCTATTATTAAATCCCAAAAGTCTAATTTTCTTATAAGAGAAAAGAAATCACGATGAGATGATTTTAAACTGTTTTAATAGAAGTTTTATGATTTTTCTTAGAATAATGTGACTTCTTTAGGATTCTCACACTCGTATATAAAAACACTTTTACATAAATAAAGTTGTGAATGCAGGACCTTTACTTGTGTTTTTATATTGTGGTATTAGTACTTTTACACGAGTACAGGATCTGAATCCTCACTATCATTTAATTGTATTAAGATTCTGATTTACATATTGTTTGGTAGTTTACTTTTTGTCAATACATCATATTTTACTCATCATACCGTTTGTTACATTTCTACACAAAAGTTATCAAATAAAAATAGTGAAATAGAAGTATAAAGCAGAATTACATGGAAATTAAGTGATACAGTATTGTAGTAAATGTACTTATTGACAGAGCCAGGCTAGCTGTTTCCCTCCGTTTCCAGCCTTTATGCTAAGCTAAGCTAACAACCGCTCGCTGTAGCTTCATATTAAACATACGGACATGAAAATGTAGAACTATGCCTTTAACTCTGATTTGCATTTTTCTCGTCTCTCATACTCAGAACCAATTAAACTTTTAAAACACCCCTAATAAATATGTTAATAAATATATATTCATCTCTGCTGTGTTCACACATCTACAGGAAACAGACACACAGGAATAAATAATTAATCCTGCAGATTTACAAACATGTGAGAACATAAAACACTATGGATGTAAGCACAGGTCATAAAGAACATAAAGTTATTGTTTCTTACCTTAACTCGTCCTCTTTACTGCTGTAGAATCTCAGACAGAGTGAGAGATCCAAAGACGTGTTGGAATAAGAAGAAACACACAGTCTGAACCAAATGTTACCATAGAAGAAGAAGTGTGTGTGTGTGAACTTTGAAGCCTTTGGATTTACAGCATGAGCAGCTCTGCTCACCTGACAGCAGGTACAGGGGTCAAAGTTCACACTGACAGTAAAGAGAGAGAGAGACACACACACACACACACTCTCTCTCTCTCTCTCTCTCACACACACACATTCATTTTTACCCTATTCACCAAAATGTGTCATTTTACAAGACAGAGAGGTGAGGAGACAGACAGTACAAGACAGAGAGGTGAAGAGACAGACAGTTTCCATTTCATTTTGAAAAGTCAGCTTTTTAAAAACCAACATGGCTCAGTTCAAAATTTTGTTTCAAAATAAAACTCCTGTTCTTAATTAAAGTTCTTAAATTCACAGCGTTTGCTGTTTCAAGTTGTGAAAGCAGACACATAGCGTTAATTTACAAAACACATATTAAGCTTAAATCTTAAAAGATTTAAGACTTAAAATGTACTCATCGTGATGAGGTGAGGAGACAGACAGACAGACAGGTGAGGAGACAGAGAGACAGACAGACAGACAGGTGAGGAGACAGAGAGACAGGCAGGTGAGGACAGAGTTGTAATCGGAGGAAACATAGAAACTTTAAACACAAACTGACCTCAAACCAGCAGAAGATGTTGAGTACATGTTTGAATAAACTTTATTGTTCTCCAGCTCTGATAACAGGACGAGGAGTCAAACATCATCAGTTTAAACAACAAGAATGCAAAATACAGCAAAGTCACAAAAATAAAAACTTTTACATTTTAGATAGATGAATATTTATATTTGAAGTCTGAAGAGCGACAGAAACATCTTTAAAACATTTAAAACTGAATATACCTGCTCATTAAAGTGACATGTTTATCCATTGAAGTCTACTTTACAGACGTTCTCTTAGACTGAATCCTCGAGGACGACAACCGTCCCGTCATGAGAACAGAGTGAGAGGCTTTGAAACCAACCGGCACTAACGGAGCAACATGAAGAAGACGCTTTGTAATGTGAGTCGGACTCTTTGCTTGAGTTCATCTTTGGTTTTAACGTCTAAATGCGTCTTTACGGTTCAGAACGTTGTCGTCTTTCTGCTGATTTGTGGATCTGACGTCGATGCTGCTTACAGAAAAAAAGAGGCAAATTTAACTTTTTTAGTTGTGATTTAAGGCACATTCAGAAACGTTTTCACTTTCATTGACTCAAGTCTACAGTAACGGGAAGCCTCTTTCATTAAGAAGAAGAAGAAGAAGAAGAATAAATAAAGCCAGATGTTCGTGTGTTATGTCCAGGAACATGTTTTTGTCCGATGCCATTGTGTCTTAATGTGTTAAATATTCGTTGGTATAAACAATAAACTGTTCATAAGAGAACGATGTCGTCGTGCAACCAGTAAACAGGAAGTGACCATATCTGGACTGAGGAGGAGTG